ACCTTACCCTGTGGCTTATCGCTCAACTGGGATTCATATCGCCACGTTCAGAGCACCTTACCCTGTGGCATAACCCACAACTGGGATGCATATCGCCACGTTCAGAGCACTTTACCCTGTGGCTTATCCCTCAAACTGGGATACATATCGCCACGTTCAGAACATCTACCCTGTGGCTTATCCCTCACAACTGGGATGCATGTAGCCACGTTCAGAACACCTTACCCTGTGGCTTATCCCTTACAACTGGGATGCATATCGCCACGTTCACAGTTTTCATCGATTTATCAACTTAGGTAGCTTTACCGGTTAGACCAGTCGTATAATGCTACGTTGTCTAAGTACCAGTGATGGTGTTTACAATGGATATCCATCACCAGTTCATGTGTTAAATTTTCCAACTACTAAAATGCTCAGTAGCTTAACCGGGTAAACCAGTTGTGTATCGCTATTTAACGTTTTCTCAAATATGTTAAGTAATTAATTAACTGGAAGGTACTCACCAAAACTTTCGTTACATTTAACTAAAAGATTTTATCACCATTACGTATAGTAAGTATAAAACACACTGTTTTATTTTACAAGGGTAGGTAACCAAGGAGAAAATATGTCGCAGATTATTTGAACAGCCAAACGCGAGTTTTCGTATCGAATCCCACTTCTGATATAAGAGTTCTAACGTTTTTGCCTTGATCCTAATATTTTAACTGTTAGTGAACTTGAACATTAACAACTATTATAACGACAAGCAGCACTAGTGGTTATATCACCGTCTGGGAACGCAGCCGAAATCCAAGTGACCACTGCTCCATGCGACCATGTGTCCCTTGGCTCGAGTAGATAATGTCATAACCGGTATACACTGTTGCCAGCGCCAACACACGGGGCAATGAATTGCCACATGTCGGTAATTTATTGTAATTACTTCAACATGTACAAAAGCTTCCACTTCTAACACTTGTACCACGTTACACTTGTAACAATTCCATTTCACGTCGGTCTTTTGTGAGGTCGTGGTACTTACCCGGACGAGCCCGCCCATTCGTGCAATAACAGAAGGAGATCCGGGGACCTACCACAGTTGAATGTAATTTAATCAATTGAATACTATTACTGAATTTAATTTAAAATAATTGTATTATTTTTTTTTATATTCATGTACTATTATTTATTTTATTCCCTTTGTCAATTAATAAATGATATAATATTATTTTGTTCTATATATTTATAGCATTTTGATAGAGGCTTCAACACACTATTATTAATTGTGATGTGTTTGTGTTTGAATAAGGGCCTACCGACTTCTTTTAATCAACTAATGAGTCATTGAAATTAAAAACATAGTATATGTATTACATTCTGTGAAAATATGATAGAACATTTATGAATCATACTTTGAGCAAATGAATCAAAATATTACCTAATATTTAAAACGAAAAATATGTTTTAAATGTTCACAATTGTAATGATGTTTTTTACACAATCATTCTACTGAGTAGACCGTATAAAATATTTAAAATTATTGTTACTTGGCATTTACAAAACTTATATTCGTTCGCGCCTGACCTATTTTGCTCGGAGTACCTGTTTTTAACGAGGTGTAACTGTGGTAGGGCCACGTAGCAGCCTCGGCTGTTGCACGAATGGACAGGCTCGTCCGGGTAAGTACTACGACCTCACAGAAGACCGGCGTAATGTGGAAGTATTAAAAATACTTTCGCGTTTCGCCTGGTGAGTGGGGTAGCTGGAGCCTAATCTTCAAAAGGTTGTCAACGCTTATATAACCCTCGGGTGTAGCAGATGTCCATGGGCGGCCATATTCAATTAACATGTATAAAATAAAAAAAATAAATAAATAAACATCAGGTGAACCGGCTGCTCGCTTGGCAACTTTTCTCATTAAAAAAAGCATAGTACGGGCAGTTTTCCGTAACGCAAAAACGGAGTCTACAAGCGCAACAGAATCTCGTCGTGGGTGCGGAGCGTTACGTCAGGAACGACGTGTCAACACAAAGATTAAAAATAGAATCTATTGGGAATTTGTGTTCCGTCTAGCAAGTGGCCTGTTCAACTCCGCGGACAATGGACCACACACACATCTACAAATTTGGCACCATTACAAACTCGTCCACGTGACCTCCTACTACTGGGCTGGGACTGGCCTCGAAGGAGTTAGCCTCAATGGTGGTTACATCTATAGGCAAGAACTATCCCATTCTAATCTCATAGTTAGGTCCTTTCGTATCTCCTTCTTGGCCGTGTAGTTAGATATCCCTTTCTTCTGTAACACATAATAACACACCCGCCCTACTAACACGGCGGCAACCTTCGATAGCCCACGAGACTCAACCTTCAGTCCGTGACTCAGATTAATGATGTTATAAGTTCAAGGCTTATTGACAAGTACCATCATTTCATAAAAATGAAATAATCTATTAACTTCAGCCGAGATAAATATATTTTCCCAGTAAGGTATATATTTAAAAAAATTTATTCCAATTAAAGTTTTATACGTCACCTTCATATGTAGGAAGCATCGTGTTTTAATTTTCTAATAGTTAATGGAATGCTCTCACTAAAATTACATGAATTAATTGAAGTATTATTCGTTTTGACGACGTGAACGCCGTAGAAAGAAAGTAGTGCTCGTTGATTTAAATAACTTTAGTTTTGATCTGACCTTAAGATTTGAAATATAATGAATTTGACAACAAGAAAGGCAAAGATCTCCTACCGAGGATCTTTCAGCACCGATTTTATTGTGTAAAATTATGTTCAATCGAATATTCAGAGAGTGTTATTCCCTTTGACGCTATTACAATACCTAATACTAAACCCAAAGTATTCGATTCGTTACAATTTTATCACATCTAACAACTTCGCAACAAATCTTACAATGTGTTGCTATACGGCTATTGTAATGGTGCTTTATTTGTGTAGTACCATTGAATACTTCAAGAAAGTATCGAAACGAAAGTGCTCGATTCTTTCATGAGTTTTTTTTTCCTGCTTGAAGTTTTCCTGTTCAGTGCTTGCTACATTATGAGCACTGTTGTCAATATATTACAAAGTGAACTGAATGTTAATTTGATACTTAATATTCAAATAATACAAGGCTGTCTTAAATTCTCCAAAAACGATGAACACAAAACTGTCGTTGGAAATTGGTTGGCTGTTGTGTTCATTATTTTGTTTTGTGTGGTATACATATTTTTGCAAGCTATTTTCAGCTCCTGTACCTTTTCATTTACTATCACGACAGCTATTATCATCTTGTCATGTGATTCACATATTATTTACGCATTTAGACTGATAAAATTAATCAGAACGAGTATTAATTCGTGGAAATCAGAATTGCTACTTATGTCCGAGTACGACGCGAGAAGCTTACAGGAAAACCATCAAATATTTACGGAATCATCACACTGGTATGTGAAAAAATAATAGCACCTCCAGTAAGTAAAATTATTTTTTTTTATGACTCGACTTATTCTATGGAGTATTTTTAATCTTTATGTCAATATTTATTATCATTTAATGTTTCTGATCTAAAACCAACACGCGATCTTTGAAAAAACTGTTCTTTTTTTGTTAATGTCTAATAATCCTTTGTTAGCTTTTAGTATAATTTAATAATTCTTTTTTTAGCTATTGTCATTATTATTACTTTTGAATGTCATTTAACCTGTAATTGAGATACCGTTTTGTTTAAGATACCATGTCCATATTTAAGTTCTTAGCATGTTTTGATGTGTATCTTGTTGGTGAATTAAATTAAAAATAACAGTTAGGAAGATTGCATGTCTAAGTTTTTATAACTATTATTTATCTTATGATATTTTTACAGATTATTTACTACGTGCTCACAACCTTTTTTCAGTTCATTGTAAACATTCAAGTTATAATACAGGTTAGATTGCATTTCATACTAGATATTGCTTAACCCTTCCAGTGTAAAACTATCCTTTTAATTTAATATCATGTTTCAGTATTTTAGCTCTGAAGGTATCATGATATTGGAATTCGTGTGGACATTAAAGAATACATTTTTATTAGCATTAATAAGCATGGAATGTGAAGGTATTCACACTTCATTGAAAAATGTTCAAGTCGAATGCTTTCATAGCGAGTGCAACCCAGGTGAGATAACTCTTAATATCATATCTTTATCTTAGATAGATGTAAAAGTAAGTTGCTCTTGGCTTCTTTTGAAGGTATATTTATGCTGCAAGTGCTAAGACTAGTCTTATCTATATGCTAGGCTTTATCTTATGGTAAAGATCACATCTCAAACAAGCAACCTTATTATAGTGGCTTTGTGGTGAAACAAACATTATTAAATCTTTCGTTGTATAATCTGTATCAATAGATGTATGCGTTTTAAAAAATAGAAAAAACAATTTTAATCGATATTTTTAATATACTAACTGTTAGGGATTTTAGTGGAAACACTTTATGCCAAACTTCGTGATTCTAGGTTAACGGGAACAACCATATAGGTTTTGTACCCACAGCCAATGGGGTACTTCCGATTGACCTAGAATGTTGGGGTCTTAGAGCACAAGTAAAGGAAAAATTCGGAAAAATAAAAAAAAGTTGAAAATGCAGGTTTTTTCGAAAATCTAAGTTTAATCATATTTTTTTACAATATGAACTCAGGACCTTCATTTTTATATACCTAATAGGGACTATAAACAAAGTATCTTTTAAGGTACTAAAAAAATAATTATCTAAGTACATTAGTCATTTAACTGTACCGAGACAGGTAGACGTTTCATCCAGCTTATATACTATAACATAGATAAGAGAGTAAATACTACAATTAACAAATATCCCTACGCCGAAATTATTAGCCACAAGGCTATCTCTGCAAGTCTTAATTTAATTCCGTCTTCGTTCCAGATCTTCTGCATGATGTGCGTAAAAAGCTGCGACGAATAGGTAAACAAAATTTCCAGCCTTTAAGTGCTTTAGGCTTCTTTACAGTGAATGCTGCTTTACTCCTGAATATGTTCTCCGCTCTCAGCAATTACACCGTGATACTGCTGCAAACGAAATTACTAAAGGCCATGTATTAAATATTGGAATATACGGACTTTGTCTCGGATTAGTTTGAAAAACATATTGTTTTTAATACGATTTCGATATTGAATATTTTTTATCGATATATCGGTTCAAAATATGTCGCCTAAAATATCGATATATTTAATAAAATATGGATATATGAATATTTCTTCGGCATCCCTAGCAAGAATCATAGGTTCGGGCGGTGTTTTTCTTTTTTAATAAATTTTTAACGTTTAATATATCAGTGTGGTCTATCATATCATCGATAATCTATCTCCTTTCCCAATTTCTTCCAAATACGCCAAGTCGCAGTGACACAAAGAAAGTAAAAACACAAACATGGTTTCAATTGGATAAAATTAGTACTTAAAGTTCATTATTTTTAACCGACTCCAAAAAAGAAGCAGGTTTCTTAATTCGACCGTATATATTTTAATTTTTTATGTGTGTTCGAGGATAACTTCGTCATTTATAAACCAATTTTGATGATTCTTTTTTTTGTTGGAAAGGAGATATCCCAAAGGTGGTACCATGATAAGGAAACCCATATCTGATGATGGCATCCCAGACAAATTGATGGCAATTCTTAAATGTTATAGGTGTTGACAATGTTTTTATTAGTTTCCTGTTTGAAGTCGGTTTTTTTTTTAATGCGAACACTTCACATTTTTATAAATAAAGCTATGCTGACGAATTTCTGACTGGAAATGTTTCTGTTAATAGCAGGTCGAACAAAGAACCCCTCCGACCTCCTGGCGCAGCGGCTTAGTAGCCGTGGCTTGGTCACCTACGGCGAAGCTAAGAGGAACCCACACTGGACCGGCATGTGGTGTAAGGCCGGCCTGAGAAGGCCGCTGCAAGTGGGCTCATTGAGCCTACTCTGGATGCGTGCTGGAGGGCGCAGGGGACAGGTCGCGGGTGGTAGAGGTGGAGTCACTCTCCCTGTCTTATGCTACCGAGAAGAAGTCGCGGGTGAAGAGTAGTTTCGGTATTGCATTGGCCGCACTCCCTATCCTCCGCGACTCGGCGGGGCTGCACCGTTGTTGCAGTGTTAGTGGGGCCACCGTGGAGCCACAGACTAGGTTCGCCGCTGGGGGCTTATAAGCCAGCCGCTTATTGGCACTAGCTCTCCTGGCTCCCATGACCTCTGGTCAGCGAACTCGGGAAGTTCGTTGGCGGTAAAAAAGGGGCCAAGTAGGAAGGTGCCCTGAATGTTCCAGCGCCTTACCTGGAGGGGAGGCGAATTGATCTCCGGGAGGTGGATGCTGAGGCGACCAGCGCTGGCAGGGTCGCGGAAGTTTGCGAATGCGGGCCCTGCCGGTATGCACCTATCTGG